TAATGCTTTGCATTGGTGTATGCTGGTAGATGGTTTCATAAATTGTTTTGTTTTATTGCATGCTTTCCTCATTAAAAGTTTTCCAATTAAAACAAACAAAAGAAAAACACTGACATTCCATCTCACTCCAAAAAGAATGGCTATTAAATTAACCAGTAACAAATGCTGGAGGATCTATGGGATAAAAGGACCCTTCTCCATTGTTGGTGGGCGTGTAGACTGGGACAACCACAGTGGAAATCAGTGTGGAGATTCCTCAGAACTCTAGGGTTGGAGGGTCCGCTTGACCCAGCTATTCCCCTTCTGAGTATCTTCCCAGAAGAATTAAAAAGCATTGTGCCACAATGTTACATATGCTCACTTGTTTATAGCAGCACAATTTGTAATAGCTACATCTTGAAAACAATCCAAATGCCCATCAACCAAGGAATGGATTAAAAAGACACGGTCCTTTTATATGGTGGAGTAGTACTCAGCCATAAAGAAAAATAAACTGGAGACTTTTATAAGCAAATAGATGCAACTTGAGACCATACTCATAAGTGAAATAAACCAGATTTGCATGTGTAAACATTGTATTGTCTCCCTAGTGTAAGAAGCTGAAAGAGTAAGTAAGATCCAAACTGAGCTGGGGAAATAGAAGAATAAAGGGAGAGAAAAGAAAAAGGAGTGTGTGTGTGTGTGTGTGTGTGTGTGTGTGTGTGTGTGTGTAAAAGATAAGATAGTTATACTACTAATTTTTCTTAGTTCATTGAAGAGATAGGCTTGTGCTAATATTAGATGGACAATTAAATGCTGACATCTCATACTCTGAGTAACTAATTTAAAGATAATAACATGCAACATAGCCACTGTTACCCTTCTATCATACTTTTGAAATTATTTTTTCTTAAAATAAAATAGAGGAGAGGGAGAGAGGAAAAACTGGGGGAGGGAAGGGGGGAAAGGAAAGGAAGAAAGAGAGAAGAAAGGAAGAAAGATCAAAGGAGGAAAGGAAGAAGACAAGGAAAGGGGCTTACAATATCAAAAAGAAAAATAAAATGCTTAGCAATAATAAATTTAATGAGGACGCAAAAGTCTAGAGCTCTGCAAATTATAAGACGTTACTAAAAGAGATTTAAGGACATAGAAGTAATGAAAAAGTAGCAAATATTCATATGTTAGAAGACGTAATAGCATTAGCATGACCATCTGAGGATTCAATGCACTCTCTAGTAAAAGCTCAGTGGTAATTCTTTCAGAAACAGAAAAATGCATCCTAAAGATCACATGGCAAAGCAGTAGATCCTGAATAGCTGATGTCATCTTGGACAAATTTGGGGGACTTATACTTTCTAATTTTAAAATGCAATACAAAGCCACAGTAACGAAAACAATGTAGTCCTGAGCTGGGCATGGTGGCACACTCCTGTAATCACCCCACTCAGAAGGCTGAATGTTATGGTTTTTGTCTGGATTATGACATAATTCTGAAACATCAAAGACTGACTGAGGCAGGGAAATTCTCTGTATGTTTTAGAAATATTCTGTTTTCTGGTTCTACTGATCAACAGTGATCTATTTGCTAAGAGCATACTTTGGCCCATCTGGTATAATTCATAGTGTTTACACTTGACCTTTGAAATGTACTATATCCATTAGGCTTCAGGCAGAGAAACAGATCCCCCAGGCAACAGACCCATGCATATTCATATATAGTCTTACAAAGAACTGGGTTACATAATTGTGAATCCGGGTATGGAGGCCCAAGCCTCTAATCCCAGTGCTGGGAAGGGTGTGACAGGAGGATCACTATGAGTCTGAACCGCATAGCAAGACCCTGTATCAAATTTAAAAAAGTAAAAAACACCCTGAGATGCTACTTCCCTATCAACAAAATCCAAGTTTCCCAACATCTTATGCCGACAAGGTTATGACGATACAGTGATCTTATACACTGTTACGGGTGTTATCCCTTAGAAGGGGAATTTGGCAATGATCTGTCAAAATTACAAATTTAGTTTGACACAGAAAATCCTCCTATGAAAAGTATATCTCTAAAGATACATAAACCTTCCCATAGGGGAAATACCTGCAAGGTGCAGCAGGCACAAGGTCGTTCACCATACCACTGTCTATAAGGAGAAGTAAAAGTGTTGGTTAAATTTGCTAGTCCTTGCTTCATCAAAGAAATCTTCCTTAATCCTTCCAATATGACGCAAACTGTGAGCAGTTGAGAAAACCAAAAATGTGGGCAGTGTAAGGGCATTGAGAATACAGTGTTTCGGGAGTGTTATTCATTCATTTGTGCAACAAATATTCATTGGTACTTACTGTATGTCAAGCTGTTATTGGGACTGAGGACTAGTATGTACCAGTGGCCAAGGACAAACTTCCTGTCATTGAGTCATTATAATGAGAAAGATCGATGAATAGATATATAATATCAGCCCTGTTTATAATAGCAAAAATCTGGGAAGTCTAGGTGTATACCTTAAAGGGTACTGGTTACATATAGTATGGTACAGCCCCAGAGTGGAATACTGTATGGCAAAGAAATAAAATAAGGAAATTTTCATTATACTGATAGAGAAGTGCATCTATGGCTTACTGTTAAAAGAAAAAAGCAAGACAATGAACAATGTGTATTATAATGTTAAGAAATAGAGGAAATAAAAATATATCCATATTGCTTATGTTTATGGGCCCAGCAAGCTTCCGCTGTGAGATTCTGCTACCTGCTGATATTGCTTATGTTTAGAGAAAGATTAGAAAGCTACAGAAGAAGGCCAGCCAGATAGATCAGTGGATTAAAGCACCTGCTTAGGCAGGCACAGGGACTGGGGGTTTGATCCTCAACATGCTGTGCCAGGCCTACCCCCAGGGAACGCTGAGATGGTGATTGAGACTGGGTGTGGTGATGCATGCCTGTAATCTCAGCACTTGGGAGGCTGAAAACAGGAGGATCACTAGGAGTCTGATCTGTGTAGTGAGACCCTGTACTAAATATATATATATATATATATATATATATATATATATATATATAGCTACAGAAGAAAACGTATGGTGAATATACACTACTTTTGTAATGAAGAAAAGCAAATGAACAATAAGGCAGTCACCAGCCTGCCAAAAATTAGAAAGTCTAGAAATATCACGTGTTCTCACAGACATAGAACAACATGCCTGTTTAAATGAATATTAATTTATATAACCATTTTGGAAAACAGCTTTATATTAATAAAATGGAAGATAAACAAAGTTCATGTTTCATTAATTCTATTACTACTTTTAGATCCAATGCCACGGCATGGGTCTAAGAATATCCACTGCAGGTGGAAGTAACACAAATGGTTGTCTGTAGACCAAAAATAGCTTGGACTTTCTTCCTATGGAATGCTCTTGGCAGCATTTGACTCCAAAAGCTGTGGTTCACTTCTAGGCTCCCAATTCTGTCACTGATCTGTATGTCTATCTTTATGCCATTAAAATAAGTTTATGTCATCTGTGAAGAAAGGTCATGTTACTTTTTCCTTTCCAAGAAGGTTGGATGCCTCCTATTCTTTGTCTCACCTAATTGTCAAAGTAGTTTTGGACATTTGAGACAGGCAATTATATTTGCAGAAAACCTTTCTGAGTCCGTAAAACTGTCAGACCTAAGAAACAAATCTACAAATCCATGCACAAAACACAACACACACTATCAGTTGCATTTCTGTACCTCAGCAATGAATCATCCACAAAGGAAAGAAAACACCAAGACTTACACACTGAAAACTATAGTCAAAAGATGTACACTTCTATCAATTGATAAATACATGAAAGAAGTGTATCATACAATGAAATACCATTCAGCAGTAAATAAGGAAGTGAGTTCCCACATATGCTGCTACATAAATGACCCTCGAAAATTCTTTCCACATGAAATACTCAAAGTAAGTGAGTCCATAGACATAGATGTAGTGCTCTCCGGGACAGAAGGGAGAGAGACTTGAGGAGCGCCAACTTAACATGTCTGGGGCTCATTGGGTGGGGGCAATGGAGATGTTTTGTAACTCTATGGGTGGTTGTGCAATTGTATGAAATGGTATTAAGTTTATGTTGTATAAATTTTATCTTAATTTTTCTCTGAATGTTTTATCTTGTAGTATCCTACGCTACATGATGGTTGTAATACTGTATATTACCTCTGTGAGGATATTTATTTTGTTCCGTGTAAATGAGCCAGGTTTTTTAGTTTCATTTTCATATAGTTAGCTTTTTAGAGATAGCTGATAATTCTAAATTGCTTGCTCATCTTTAAGAAAGGGGAACAAATAAGGTAAATGACTACTGGAGTGTTAAAATTTGGATCTAGAATGTTCCCCAAAGCCCCACATGTTAAAGGCTTGGTCCCCAGCTCTGTTTGGAAGTGGCTGAACTTTCATGAGGTAGGGCCTTGTGGGAAGTCTTCAGCCTTTAAGGGTGTACCTTTAAAGGAGATAGTGGGCCCCACTTCCTTTCTCTGCTTTTCTTTATTCCCAGCTTCTGAGGAGAGCTGCTTTGCTCCACCGCACACTCTCTACTCTACGATGTGCTTGCTGCCTTGCCACAGGCCCAAAAGCAGTGGGGCCAACTGGGAGGCAAGGTAAACCTTTCTCTATATATGGACATTATCTCAGATATTTGTTATAGTAAGAGATATTTCTTTTGGTGCCAGAAATCAAATTCAGGACTTTGCACTTGCCAGGCAGATGCTGTGTCACTGAGCTAGATCTCCAGTCCTTGTTAGCTGACCAACACAGTGGGATTTTTGATCTGTAAGCTTCACCCTAGATGCCTGCTGGGCTTTGTGTGGGTTACCTGACATCAGAGTATGTTCAGGCTTTTCCTTTTGATTTTGTCAGGTTCTCTAGAAAAAGCTCTAAAAGTCTCTTACCTGGAAGAAAAACCACAGTTGTCAGCATGGTGCAAGAAATGCATATTTATTTTCCAATTATATACAAAAGTTGACATGAAAGTTTGTTATGATACAAAAAAAAATAAGTGGTCTTTTCTACATTGACATACTGTCAAATACTGTCAGCATACATTTTAAATTTTAAAGTGTTTAACAAACGCTTATATGACGTAAGACTTAGTAGGCACTTAATATATACTCCCTGCCAAGCCAAAGTATATTAACAGAGAAATGCAAACAAGAAGTAATATTTTATATGGTAAAAGTCAATAAACCTGAAAGAGGAAAAATATTCAACATAAGAAAGAGTAAAGAACATTTGCAGTAGGGAATATTAAATATTTGGAAAGCATGATAAAATTAACAAAGAAAAGTATACTGAAAATTATAGCTCCGTGGGGCTGACAGTGTAGCTTGGTGCCATGCAAAATATACCTTAGCACTCCCGAGGACTGGGTGTAGCGCTCCCCGACAGTCGTGCTGAAACGACAGCGCCCTTCTTTATCTCCAGTACGGTGGGCCATTTCCCAGAATAACTAAGGAAACATCCCTGAAGTCCTTTCCTCCCCTAACTGACAATGAAACCACCATCCAAATACCAAGCCCACATTTCCTGCCTCCTATTTAGCATAGAATTATCACTTCTTATTTACAGATCGGTGATTTTTTTTTCTACTTTACTTATGGTTACTGAAAACTCTCACTAATATTCCTGCCACAAGGCTGGCAATAGCAAGGGCTAATGCTGTTCCTCGATAGACTATCAGTTGTCTCACTGTCAAGACCTCCCCAATGGTAGGAACCACATGCTGGTTTTCTTGCAGCACCATCAGCTGAGCAGTCTGGCCCTCTGGTCTGATAACATCAGGTAAAATCACATCACCGGTTACTTCTCTTTCCAGGTTTGGTAGATCTGTGTGAAAAAAACAGTGAGGAACTTACTAGGACTAAGTCAAGTAAAATAAAATAAAATAAAATAAATTTAGGACTTTGTATCCGTGTATGCATGAACTCATTTATCTATTTATTTTGCAGTACCAGAGATCACACTCAGGACCTTGCACGTGTCAGACAGGCACTTGTGCTGCTGGACTATATCCCTGACTCCTATTTTTTTTGAAAGAGAACACAAAAATAGTCCAACAAAACTTCATTAGAAATGATACAGAATTTTATTAAACAAAATAATAAGATTTCAACAATGGTTGTTATAGTTCATAATGTTATCTTCAGATTAGTTGTTTTAATAACTAGATATAAGAATGTAAAAATGGTCAAAAGAAGTTATAAGAAGTTAAAAAGAGGAAGAGAAAAAGGATTTTAAGCATTAACTGGTCCTTTCAGTAAACCAGCAGAAATCAGCAGTACAGTTATCAAGCTATCCTGTGTATATGCATAAATACATGTTTTTCTTGCCTTCTTTCTTTCTCTTGTCCTTTTCCTCATCCCAGTTGTTCCTTCCCTTTGAGCAGAGGCTTTCCCTTTCACAGTATCTATTGTGCCTTTCAGATTTTTATTTACTCTTTCAGGTTCTTACACTAGTGAGACGACATGATGTTTGCACATACAGGTGTGATTTATTTCACTTACGAGTATGGTCTCTAATTGCATCCATTTACCTATAAAAGCACTGAGTTTTTCTTTTCACATGAAATTATATTAGTGAAATTTATATGAGAATACATTATTAAAAGTGACCATAAAACTCTGCCACATTATGCTAGAATACATAAAAGAATGGTTTCCAGTACCTGTTGGGGGCAGTACAGAGTCTTTATTGCCTTTTAGCCCAGCTCGAACTTGTGCCTAAAAACAAGGTCACATGAGGAAAGGAAACAGAGATCAAGTCCAAATAACAATTTCTTTTTAAAGTTCATCTTTTTTTTTTTTCGGTTAAGAAAGTTAATTTATTGCACATCTCAACCACTACAAAGACTTCCAGGTAAATAAACAACACTTCATAATTTCAAATTGCTATAAAACTTAAAGACAAGCATGCAATTACAGACAGTTCTAAGAACAAGTTTCTGGCTAGGCACTGCCCCAGTTGGGACTAGAATTGCTGGTAGCATCTTAAACCACCTTATTGGAAATCTACAATGATATACATAAGTATGTATTATGACTGCTGCTAAAACTGCTCTTGAAGGGTTCTAATATTTAGCACCACCTTTCATGGTTCTACAAATGCCTTACCACAAAAACAAAGCACCAAAAACCTTCTGACCTCCCCATCACATGCTCAGCTCACAAACAAGACAAAAGCCCTGTGGCCAGAGTCACAGATTTAACATATTATTTGTGCACATGCACTTTAGTGTTCCAAAGCACAAACAGATGGAAGAAAATAAAGATAAATGATATTACCATCTACAGGTTTCTTCATGATCAAACAAAGTCCTGTACACTCCATTCTCTCAATAAAGCAAACTGAATTTAGGAAAGATTACTAGTAGGCAAATTGAAATGAATTTGAAATCTCAAGGGTGACTAAAGCTCGAACAGAAAGCGCTGATACCCTAAGCTCACCCATGTGTCCCCTTGCTAAGACTCCCTCGCCTGTAGCAGTTATCCACCCATCTCACCTCACCATAAATCAAGCTCACAGTTCAACCCACTGGTGCTCCCAATGGTCAGGGTCCGGACTCTCTGCACATATATTCTCCCCCACAGCCCACGGATATCTAGCATACTGCATTTTAGTAAAGAATAAACAAAAAAAATTTTAAAAATAAACCTAAAAAGGAGGTAATCACTTTGAACAAGAAACAATGTTTCTAAGATTACTGTATCAAACAGGAAAATATGTCCAATGAACTTTGAAAAACAGATTGGGTCTCTGATTATTATTATTATTATTATTATTATTATTATTAGCCTTTTTGAGAGAGGGTCTCACTATGCAGTTCAGGCTGGCCTTGAGCTCACTTTGTAATCCAGGCTGGTCTCAAACTCACAATGATCCACCTGCCTCAGCCTCCCGAGTGCTGGGATTATCTGCGTGCATCACCACACCCGGCTGGTTATAGTTCACTGTGTGTCTTGCTGCCAGGGGCATTGTGTACCATTTGACCTGAAAAGGTTCCCTGCTGTGTCATGGGATTAAGTAGAGCCGCCTGCTAAAATCAGCGTGAACACCGTTACCTGCTCCGCAACTCTACTCCAGTTTGTCCTCAGGATGCACACCGAGTAGAAAAGGGCTTGAATGAAGACACAAACTGTCAACCCAGACCAGAGACCTGTGGGTATAGCAGGAGTATCAGAGTTTAGATTTGCTTCAAGTCAGTTCCCCTGGCCATTAAATTTCTTCCCTAATAATCCCTAATTTGTGGAGCACACTTCAGTTAATTAACTTCCCTTCCTAAAATTTCAGATCAGCATGGATCAGGAATTACACACAAATCCATCACTGATTCACAGGGATTACACACAAATCCAGCACCTACTGTGTACAATAGCAAGCAACTTATGACTGGATAAAGAAAACAGGGTCTTAGAGTCTAAAAGGTGAACAGTTGCTTTTTAAAAAAATAAAGATGAAACGCAAAACCCCAGAAATCATTAAGCACAAGGAGACTGCTTTGGCTAACTGGTACTTCCCCAGTGTCTAACACAGCTCCTGGCAGAGAGGCAGTGTAACAACTTGGCAGTGCTGTTCCCGCACAGAACGACGGATCCCAGCTTGAGGCTCATCACACATCCCGTGGGCCCAGCCTGTACCCACCACTAACAGAGAAAGGATATTGAAGACCACCAAACGGCAGCATTTCCAGGAAGATGAGAAACTGAGTCCTTGCTTTAATTTGAATACAATAAAACTAATCTACCAGCTGAAATTTGAATTTCATAAAGGAATGGGGAAACAATAAAAATTTTGAAAGGTAAAAATGTACTGGCTAGACACAGAGCAAAAAGAATTTTTTCAATTTACATTATTGCATTCATTCAGCTCTCCAATTAGATTTTTTTTTTCAATCTGGGTATCGAATCCTGGGCCTCCTGCATGGTAGGCAAGTGCTCTACCATTGCGTTTTGAAATACCAGGCCATGAGAATTTCATGGAAGAGTTTCATCAAACCTTTATAAAAACAGGTGATTCTCACACTATTGAAGTTGTCCCAAGGCATATGAGGAAAAAAAATTTCAAATTGACTTTGTGAAGTGAGTGGTTATGTTTTATATCTAGGGTCCCCAAGAACCTCAGGTACTCATTGGTGGAACTTGAATTATATATATTTGTAGCCCTTACAATTTTTTTAAATGTATTTAGTACACGGTCTATAGGGTCTCACTATATAGATCGGACTAGTAGTGATTCTCCTGTTTTTCAGCCTCCCAAGCACTGAGATTACAGGCATGCGTCACCACACCCAGTCTCCATGGCTGTCTCAGTGCACCCCAGGGGCAGGATCAGCAGCACACACTGGGGATCGAACCCCCAGCCCCTGTGTCTGCCTAAGCAGGTGCTTTAATCTACTGAGCTATCTGGCCAGCCCTTAGCCCTTACAGTTCTGAATTCCTCGTATTATTTATGGTAGTTTTGAGTGGATTACAATGAGGTTCGCAGGCACTCACTGATATCATCGCCCCCCGCAAATCCTCCTTCGGCTCTCTGCCTCCTTCCTGCCATGCACAGCCTCCCTCCTGGCAGGCCCTTTGCTCATGCCACTTTTGCCCTGAAGCCAAGTGACTGTGGACTGAAAAATGTGGGCCAAAATACACTTCTCTTCTTTTAAGCTGTGAGTGAGTGTTGAGTACTTTGTCCCAGGGATAAGAAAAGTGACCAACGTGAGTGTTAATCATAATGTAAATATTATTAGTAATACCAATAGCAAAACCTAACAAAGATGCACAACAAATAAAACAATAGATCAAACTGAACCCATGGTAGATATCTGTAATCCCAGCACTCTGGAAGGTTGAGGAAGGAGAATCACATGTTCAAGCCCAGTGGGGCAACTGAGGAAGACCTTCTCTCAAAATAAAAACAAGTTGAGGAGGCAGCTCAGTGTGAAAGCCCTAGATTCAATACTCAGTACTACAAGAAGAGACAAAAACAAAGCCCTGCAGATCAGACCTACTTATAAAATTCTTAAATAATGAAATATTAACAAAAGGAATCTAGCTGCTCAATAAAGGAACAACATATAATTGAGATAGTTGAGTACAAGGAAACAATTAATGTCACTTATCTTTATATCAGATCTAAGGATTGAGGGCTGGCCAAATAGTTCAGTGGATTAAAGCACCTGCCAAGTAGGCACAGGGACTGGAGGTTTGATCCCTGGGCCTGCTGTGCTGGCCCTGTCCCTAGGGTGCGCTGAGCCAGCGATTGAGACTGGGCATGGTGGTGCATGCCTATAATCCCAGCTCTTAGGAGGTTGTAAACAGGTGAATCACTACAAGTCTGATCTAGTAGTGAGATCCTGGACACCCTATAGACCCTTCCCTAAGAATAAAAATAAAAATAAAAATAAAAAACAAAAACAAAAAAAAAACAACCAAAGTTCAGGATGAAGGGCTGGTGAGATAGCTCAGCGGACTAAATGCCTGCTTAGCCAAGCACAGGGACAGTTCCACCCCGAGCACCACATGCTGCACTGGCTCTACCCCCTGGGTGTATTGAAACCAGCCTGGTGGCACACATGTAATCCCAGCAAGATCTAAGGATAACAGTGATAGGATCTTTTTTTTTTTTTTTTTTTTTTTTTTTTTTTTTTTTTTTTTTTCTGAACCGGGGATTGAACTCAGACCCTTGCGCTTCCCAGGAAAGTGCTTATTCTACTGAGCCATCTCCCTGGCCCCAATAAGATCATTTCTAAGGGCACCAAAGGAACACTTGACAAAATTCACCATCATTTTTGTTGGAAACATTCAATAAAATAGATTCCATAGACACTTCTTGAACATAACTAAAATAAAAACAAAACAGGTAGGTACACATTTCAGCCCAAAATCCAACTATCACTTAGTAGAGGAACACTGGGATTGCTGGCATTAAAGTCATGATAATCAGTTCTACTGTCATCCGGTATCCTTGTTACAATGCTTCACTGCTAGAGGCATTGTGCAAGAAAAATTGTGCAAGAAAAAAAAATATGAAAGTTGGAAAGAATATAAAATTGAGTTGCAAATGTTATCATTGTGTACCTGAAAAACTGCCTGTAATCTACTCAAAATTAGCACATATAGTAATTCAGAGATATTCAGAATAATTAGAGAAATTCAGAACTGTAAGAGCTACAATTATTAATGGCCTTCATATATATAAACAGTTCTTAAGTTTTCATGATAAAAAAAGCATTTGTCTTTCATTTTCTCTTACTGTACACCAGAGGCTGGGTGATTAATAAATGACAAAAAGTTTATTTTGGTTCATGGTTTTGGAGACTGGGCAGGCAGAAATACCTGTTTAACTTTTGCTTGAATGTTGAAATCCAGGAAGGCATAAAAATGACTATTCCTGTGATGAGAAAGGCTATAGGAGAGGAGGAGAAGTCCAATTCTGAGAAAGCACGATCACATACTAAGGGAGTGACAGCTGCTTCATTTGTCTGCAGGACAGTCCCTACTTCATGCCCATTTTCTGTGCTATGAGCCCATGTTGTTTTAGGCACACAGAAATACATTCTGCGCACACTGCTTACAGCAGACACAATTTGGTAGGAAAATTGTTGGTGATGGAGCGGCAACATGGCTTGGTAACTCTCCTCTTCCCCATCTGTGTACATGATTATTTTTAAGCCTGTAACTTTAATAGCATTTTCAGGTATGCAGCTTTCAGTCATTAAAAGCTCCTGGAATTTCATCAACTGGAAGGACTACCAATGCAGACAAATGATGAATTTTTAAATATAATTTATCATTGTTATATTAAATGGCCAAATCATTCCAGAATTTGATATTCTCATCCCTCTCATTTAGTCTTCCTCCCCTCTATGGGATTATTGCCCAAAATTATGAAACATGAAAAAACAGAAGCAAGTTTTTCTAAAATGTGTACCTGATACTAGAACATAAAAGCTGTGTCAGAGAAACATCTGCTTCACAAAAACACAGATGGCCTCCAGGTGTTGGATGGCCTGAGTCAGTTCCCAAGTGTTTGACAATACTGCATTTGTTGTTTTTATTTTATTTATTAGTTCATGTTTAGAGTACACAGTGATTACACGCATCGTGGGGAGGTGGTATCTGTACCTCTTCACCTTCCTTCCCTCCCCCTCCCAAGCCCACATTTATTCTCTACAGAGACAGTGACACACTCCGAGATGCAACTTGAGAATAGTTTTCCTGAGAAGGGATGAAGTGGGTGAGAAAAACAGAAGCTGCCTGGAGGCATACGCCTCTGCTTTCTCCCTCTGTAGGAAAACAGATGCAAAGATGTAACAGCTAAAGAGGGTAATAAGTGATCGGGTTAGAAGCAGTTTACTGGCTATATAAAGGCTAAGATAAATAGCATTTTTGCCCTGTTATAAACTCTCAGCTCTTCCTCTCTTGTATATGGGATGGACCCTCACAGATATGAAAGATATTATGGCCACACAACTGGTCCAACTTGGTAGCAAGACTGGGGCTGAGTCCTTAAATTTACGTCAACCAGGAAGGAGTCAACAAGGAGGCTGGGGTGGTAGAGATGTCGGCAGAGCAGCCAGGAATGGTGGGGAAGCGGGAAGTACAGTGCGCGCTGCAGGCATGAGCTCAGGCCACTGCTCAAGATCTGCAGTATGAACATCTGGGAGCAAGGCCAAGACTTCCGAGGAGGAGTATGCAGAACACAGGGACAAAAGCGCTACCACCATCCTGGTCCCTGGTGAAGCCAGCATTCCAAGAGCAGAGAGGGGGAAGAAGGCCAAGGAACTAGATAAGAGAGTAAATTGAGGGCAGAGAGAGTGAACTGCAAAAGACGGATAGCTCAGGGCTTGATATATACAGGTACTCCGTGAAGGTTTATTGAACAAATGAGAGAATCATAAAATCCATATAAGAGGGACAACACACAGTGCTAACAAATGTGACTCTGGACTCAAACTACCTGGGTTCAGATCCTGTCTCATCCCTTCATTACTGAGGGGCTTGGAATAATTACTTAACCATTTTAGGTTTTAAATTTTTCACATATAAAAACAGGCTAATGAGATATTCTATCTTAAGCAGTTGTTATAAATTTATTTGGCTTCTGAGCCAGGGTGCTTTCTATGTCATTTAGGCCTCTTATGCTGATGTCTCAGGCCTGAGCTGCTCTCCTGAGCCTGGAGGCCCGGATGCTCCCGCACCTCACCATAGGTCCCACTGCAGCCTGTTTCTTCTGGTAGCGCCTAATCCCCTGGCAACTGACTGGTTGTGTAATTGTTGACTCTCAGTCTCATCCTGAGGGCAGAAGCATGTTTATTTCATTCAACTTTTTAAAAATGTATTTAGTACAGGGTCTACAGGGTCTCGCTGTACAGATCAGACTAGTAGTGATTCTCTCGTTTTCAGCCTCCCAGGCATTGGGATTACAGGCGCACACCACCACGCCCAGTCTCGTTTATCTCATTCAGTACTGCACTCTCAGTGCATTTGTACAAGGAGCAGTGAACAAATATTGGGAGAGAAAAGAATTTCTCCTCTTGCACACAAAATGACTGTCCGATCAATTGTTTTCTGTCTCAAGAACTTTATCTTAATATGAGTAATGAGATTTGCAGTGAGTCACTGAGGAATGAAACACATACCTATTATCCCAAGCTTAGCAGCAAACATCAGAGACACTCCAATGGGAAAGCCAAACACGTAGTAACTGATGACGTTCAGGAGAGCGCCAGTCTTTTGCTTTCCAATCCCTCTCAGCACTCCGCCGCCCGCACCCTAAGGAGAGGAAACCCAACAGCAACACTGCAGCCACACTGCTGTCATCACGTCAGGCTCAGAAGTCCGCACTAGCATCTCACAGGGTTGGGGATGGTGAAATAGCAGACAGAACGCATTGTGCAAGAGATGAAAGAAGACATCCTGGGCAATAAAACTACAGCAGCTTGCATCAGAAAATGATTAAGTAACACTATTTAAATAGCTGGTTATTTATCTTGACTAAAAGTATTTTCTAAAAGTACATGTGTCAGGGATTTAGTTCAGTGGCACAGTACCTGCCTGGCAAGTATAAGGTCCTGAGTTTGATTCCTAGTGCCCCCTACCCCAAACAGAGGTTATACCGATGGTATATCAGCAAAAATCAGTCTGAAATTATGGCTGAAAATATTAATGCAATTGTGAGTTTCTTTTCCACATATTTAAAAAAATCTTTTCTTTCTTTCTTTCTTTCTTTCTTTCTTTCTTTGTTTCTTTCTTTGCTTTAGGGCCTCACTACACATCTCCAACTCATAATGATTCTCCTGTCTCAGCCTCTGCAATGCTTGGATTACACATATGGGTCACCATGCCTGGTTTTGGTAGCCAGCACAGCACACCTGGGTTTCCAGGGATTGAACACGGGTCCTTGCACTTGCCAGGCAGGCGCTTAGCCCACTGTGCTGTCTCCCCAGCCCTCCACTCTTCTTACCACCCTCTGTGCCCACCTTCTGTGTCCAGTCATGGGAACCATATCTTCAGGTTTTTATGGAGAAAGTGGAAGAAATTCCATGGATAAAAAAGCATGACAACTATTCAGGCCTAGATGTTATGTAATGAAGGCTTCTCCGAGAATGATTCCAGTGTACAAGCAAATGGTCTTCTAAAAAAAACACCCACATATCCACAGAAGACCCAGTCTAGACAGGGTCTTTCAAATGTCAGAGTTGACTCAAAGGTAGCATGGGAAAAAAAAAGGTAGCATGGACTATTTGGGAGGGTTCATGACAGGTCACCTCAGCACTTGGCCAGGACACCACTCATGGCACTCAGGTACCCGGTACAGTTAGAAGAGGTAGAGAATGCCAGTCTCCTCTGCCTCAGAACGATGTACTCCTGAGTAACAAATCTTTCCCTCAAATGCTTAGGCTGCTTGAAGCAAGAGGTCACTCTTTTCAAAAATGAAATCATGGATGCTCAATTTTTAATATAAAAAAGACAGAAACAAAAGACATATTAATACATACGATGGAGTAAAATCACTCCAAATACTCACTGCCAGTGCATCAAAGAGATGAAAAGGAGCAAAAATAAGCATCACGTGGCTCACAAGGGAAATAATGTCCCTGTTGAAGGAGAAGAAAGCAGTCAGAAAACTCACAAACCAGATAATTCAGTCCAAACAATACATTACCTTTTGACAAAGGAAGTACATAGTGAAACTTTTCTAATTCAGATTTTATTGCTACTGTATATAAAACTTAGATTAATGGGGATATGGTTAGGCTACAATTCTTAAGGCTCCACTTATGGGTGCACAAATATAACAAATGGGACCAAAAAAAGCAGCAGGTTTCAGCTTCTGCATGAGTCTTCTTCAAAAACAGAGTTGAAATCCAGTGTTCATATAGGAAATATTTGCCTCTCTGTGGATTCTCTGAACTCTCTTCATTTATGGAAGATCTGCTTAGAAGGTCTGCAGAGGGGGTGTTGGGCTCTGGAGAGGACACAGCAAGGACAGAGGGGACTGAGCAATGCGCCATGGGCCCAGGGCCTATGTAGTCCATGCAACAGGCCACAGTGCCCTCCCCACAGGAGAAGATTTCCCCTTCCCCTTCTCCCTCCCCCCTCCTCCACTCCCATGTACCCTCAAGGGGAGCCTGTAGCCAAGAGACTCACCCAGTTAGGCGCAGCCCGAAGCCCTAAGTGGCCCTCACTGTGAGCGAGTGTGACCTCTTTAGATGTGACTCACAGGACTGCAGTCACCCCATATATGCACTGCCTCTGCTCATCAACGTAACAGTATGGTCTTTCAGAAAAACCATTATGGAACCAATGCACCCAAGATGCTCAGAAAAGTAACAACAACAACACATACACGCATGGAAAGGGAAAGCAAAATAATGTAAGCATGCTGACACAAAAGGAACCTGAAACAAGGCACATAAGAGAACGTTGTTGAAATTATAATTGCTACTCTCAGAGACATTCATAAGCTCACAACAGGCAATCGAGGGAAAGGTGCAATTGGGGACAGTGACTGGAGATGATGAAAAATGTGAACAATAAAACATTTTACTTAAAGACCAGCTAATAAATGACTAAAGACTAAATTCCAACTTCGAAAATAAAAGTTGAAGACTTTTGTCTCTCCAAAAACAGAGAGATAAAAGAGACTGATCCATAAATTCTATCTAACACTTATCTGAAAAGCATTTAAAGGCAAAGAAAGGAAAATGGCACAGAAGGAAGTAAATTTAAGGGAGAAAAATGATACATTTCCTGGAGCTTAAGGGTAATTCAATAGTTCGCATCTAAAGTCCACAGGATGGTAAGTAGAAAAAAAGGATTTACCACATTTAACCACCTTCATTAACCAGTCAAGGGCAAAAATGATAACTCAAAATTTCAGGACAAAGTTTTCTCCTACAAAAGAATGAGAGCCCAGTCAGTGTGAAAGGTCTCTATCCTGGTGACATCAGGGACGATGGCAGGGGAGACATTTCAAGTATCAGTCTCTGCCACAGCGATCACTGGCTGGCAGGAAATGTTAGCAGCAACCATTGATGAATTCTGGAGTCAGCTTGCAATGGTAGGGGATACTGATGACGAGACTGGGAAGTGTGGGTAAGTTTGGGAGCAGCTCCATTTTCCCACCTCTCAGTCCCATAGCAGGCAGCGGCAGCGATGGCCACTCACATATCTGTGTGGCATCCTGGCACCAGGTTGGAGAAAAAGGGACTGCGTGTTTTGATCTACCAGAGATTAACGAAGGGGTGAGCTGGCACAGAGGCTTCCCTGACAGGGCCTGTCAAAGAATTTAAAAAGACGAAAATGTTCAAAACAAACAAACAAACCCTTACTACATCGAAGCATTTAAGTAGAGACATGTAGACTTTGTAAAAACTACACAGAAATTCTCCTCTCTCTAAAGGAGGGTAGCAACCCTCTACTGTTACTAAAGAAATGGAGATTGGCAGTCTGCAATAAGCCAGAACAGCAATGCCACGAGAAGGAGGAGAATCTGATTCCCACCTTTGCTATATCATATTATTTAAAATGTCCAGGTCTTACAAGACATTGCAGAGCACACTCAGGGACAGGAAGGGGTTGTCCTTCATAGGAAGAGGACTTGTGCAAAACTGGCAAATATCATCAAAGCCAATTTTTCCAAACTCTAGTTATTAACTGAAAGCTTGCAGGGACTCAGAGGCCACCATTCTAAGACAGGTGCACAGAGGCCAGAAGCTGGAAGGGACAGCAAACACTATCAGAGGCAGAATTAGGAACCAACCAAACATGACAAGATGAATAAAAATAAGAACAATCAACAAATCCACATGTGGGATTCTACATTTGGGTTCAAGAGGACAACCATAGGAAGGAAGAGTGGGGACACTGTGGCTGATCCAGCGCACAGTGGCAGGGAGCTCAAAAGTCTCAGAAGGACATGGCCACCAAAACTTAATGCTTCTCTGGGGTCTTCAGGTAAAAGGAGGTATAATGGGCACAGTTCTGCACTGAATGGTGCTGTTAGGTCTAAGAACACTGATGTGATTTTAAGAGAGTCAAGACTCAAAATCATACTCCTTGAGAAACAGCTAAAGGAATTCTGGGTTTCTTCCATGCAGGAGAGGACCTTACGGAGCACAGGAGTTACCTGCCAACACTGGTGAGGCTGTAACTCGGGAGATGATAGGCTAGCACGTGATCAGAAGTGCAGCTGGTATCAGCAGGTGAAAGTGATGCGAGAAAGGGGGACTTCAGCTCTACATAAGCAAGGCGTCCTAAGGCTCAGTACCACCTTGGAGGGCAGCGAGCTCTTCTCTACTGAGGTTATGAAAGTGCATGGAGACTGCACAACCTGGCAGGGACATTGAGGAGGAATCCTGGGGTCGGGTGATTACATCAAATGGCCTTTTAGATTCTCTTTTTTTTGACATCAGTTATTTTTATTTTAAAGAAATAAAAAAAATAAAAACAGTGGTATAAAATCTCAAAACAAGATTTTAGGAGA